GTCAAAACTCAACTGTCCAAAAGACACTTCTCAATGTCTCTAATTCAAATTCTGACATCAAGACTTGTATTGCTCCAGACATCCTTACTCAAGTTATTATTTTTTTTTTTAAACTTATTTTTATGCGAGGCCAGTTGCCGAGAAGATGCGCTGCTATTGAGATTATTGTTTTTTTTTTGTTTACAGTTCTGCAGGTATTGGCCTTTACCTGATGCCAAGCGGCGCGGTAGCTTCTCGCGATGTTGTCTATGTAAGTCTTTTTTACTTCGAATTTCTCCCCATCCTGGTCTTAAGCAAAAGAACTCTATAGATGCATTGCCATCATCAATACTTCTCAACATATTCTCTTCGTACGAATCACAACCGCTTGTCCTTTTTTCACTTTTTGTAGGTTATGAGCTGTTCTAAACCAGAAGAAATTGGCTGATTGCAGTCATCTATTTGTAGGTTGTAGTCATTTGTCTTGAAAGGCATTCAGAGAGACTTTCCGCAGCTACAAGTTGCGACCTGATTGCGTTCTATAAACTATGCAATGGCTGAATGTGTCTTGAAAGAATTTTCCTTTGCAGGCAGGTAATGGTGTAGCGACCCTGCAGCTGTTGCGAGTGTGCTGCTACGTTTTCAGTGAATAATATCACAAACTCACTTCCTTCTTTGTCTGTCGTAGGTGTAGCAAGTTTATGAATCATGAATCACACGCTGGTGCTACCAACTTTGCGTAGTAGGATGATTAATGACCGCTGCAGTGAGGTACGAGCTGTGTTTATCAGAACAAAACCCGCAATAGTTCTGTAACAGTTTTGCGATTGCTGGTATTATTCATTCAACTTACATTCTCATTATTGATATGCATCTCATCCTTGAAAATATCTTATTGACCTATATTTCTGTGTCTGGCTTTGCAGATCATGCTGCCGTCATCGTAGCATTGAGACTGCCTTGCCTCTGAAAATCGATAACTTCGCCAAGGTCGAACATCGATGGTGACTGTCCTCATAAAAATTTCGCTTAGAGTAACCAAAATGGAGAAGAAATTTTCTCGTTCAGGTGTCCATTCCTAATATGTCTACGACTCATGGGATTCTTCAACAAGAACTAGCTTACTCCAACTCTTATCATTTTTTTGTAAATCTCGACAGATTCTAGGCTATAGTTAACATCTTATCTTGTTTGTAATGTCTTGGAACCTTAATCTCAAAAGAACCATCACTGTAATATTAATTGTTGCTTTTTATGGAATGTTTGGATGAAGTGGAGCCAAAGGCTAGTAATGTTTTAATACTAAAATTGATGTACTGATCAAGAACTGAAATGTAGCATCATAGCTACCACAATCATATGTGATACGTGCAATAAATGTACAACATCTGCTCTGCCAAAACGTTTGGCCTAATGGGCGCCAGCATGCTTCACGTGATTCTTTAATCAAATTTTGGGAAGACTCACACATTTGTAATAACTTAAGATAAATCATGAAAATTCGTGGCTTGAAACCAATCCTTACAAAATTGATGTGTAATTAACTGATCTTTGCTCGTGACAAATTTAGATTGTGAATCTTAAATGCAAGTTAGTTATGTTTTGCAAATATACACTCACACTTGAAATCATTTTCCTTAACCTTGAACCAAAATGAATCATGTTTGATAAAATTTGAATTTCAATGTTGATGCCACTCTTGTATCGAAGCTAGAATCACTCTTGAAATTACTGAACAATGTTTCAAATTAACTCTCAGAACATCTGCAATCTTGAATCTTCACCCAAGGCTGAATAAAGACATGATTCCACGTTTAAACAATCATAACCACTTGGTATAAGGAAATCTCAAGAGGTAGGACAAATTTGGGGTATGACAAATATCAGATGTTAACATGGAAGCAATAAATGATGGTGCATCATGTCGTCCTCAAGGTATGTTCATAAACATTTTTCTGCCAAATAATGTAGCTTATACTCAAGTGCCATAAAACTGAAAATTATGCAATTCTAAATCTTCTAATCTAGAAATATAGCGTTAATTATTTATTTGTATTATAGATTTTAAATAATATTTAGTAATCAATATCAAACTCCTTCCTGTAGAATCAGGACGCGCTTTTCGAGCAAGACGCAATATTGCTCGAAATTTCAAAAATAATTCGATGATGGCAAAATCCCGGTTGCCTAATCCAATTTCCTGTAGATATTGCAATGCAAAATTGTTTCATCATGAATCACGTGATATGTGTTGTACTGGTGGAAAGGTATCATTTTCACGAGTTAATGCTCCTATAGAATTGCAACAATTATTTTTGGATGGTTCAGTAGAAGTAAGGCATTTTAGGCAACATATTCGAAGTTACAACCATGTGCTCTCATTCACTTCAATTGGTGTTCACGTTGATGAGAATATTCTTGCATCTGGTCGTGGTATATATACATTTCGTGCTCAAGGTGCTTTTTACCATAACATAGGAGGTTTCTATCCAAATGAGGGTGCTAGACCGCGTTTCTTCCAGCTATACATCTACGACACAGATAATGAGCTACATAATAGAATGTAGGAAAATCCACAACTCCACCAAAATGTAGTTCAAAAATTACAAAAAATGCTCCATCAGTTTAATCCTTTTGTAATTAGGTTCAAACAACTGTCACAACTTCCAAATATCGGTGAATGTAGCTTTATACTTAAAGAGCGTCCAAGTAATCACCATCAATATAATCTTCCAACTGCAGAACAAGTTGCGGCAATTATTGTTGGAGGAGATTCAGATTCTATGGAATATGGAAGGGATATTAATGTCATTCGTCGTGATGGAAATCTAAAGAAAGTTCAAGAGACAAAGGGATATTATGATCCGCTGCAGTATCCTATATTGTTTCCTTTTGGGACACATGGTTGGGACGTTAACACAACAAATTGTAATGGACGAAGATTGTCATGTCGAGCATATTACAGTTACATGCTTCAGGTAAATTTAGATTAATTTTAGTAAATAGTATACTTAGATAAGCGTAGTTTAAAACACATCACTTTTAACACCGACATATTTTTCAATCAATTGTAGATTCGCCCAAATGATCAATCAATGTTGTTAAATGCGGGTCGACTGTTGCAACAATATGTTGTAGACAATTATGTCAAAATTGAATCAGGGAGGTTAAGGTGGATTAGAGAGCACCAACGTGATATACGTGCTGAAGTGTACCAAGGTTTACAGGATGCTTTGCATGTCGGTGAAACTAATGCAGGTACTAAATAATGTAGCATAAATATATATTTTTAGATTACCAATTAGTTGTTGTACTTATAATGATAATCTTTCATGTATTATGAAACTGATACATTTCATGAATCACCATAGAAAACATTGGAAAAAGAACAATATTGCCATCATCATTTATTGGAGGTCGTCGAGACATGACACAACGCTATGAAGATGGTATGGCTATTGTTCTTCATGGCGGTAAACCAGATGTTTTTCTGACAATGACATGCAATCCTTCTTGGAGTGAGATAACATCAGAACTTTTGCCTTTTCGAGCACCACAAGATCGTCCAGATTTGCTAACAAGAATATTTCGTTCGAAATTCGAGCAATTAAAGGATGATGTTATTAATAAAGGAGTCTTAGGAAAGGTTAAAAGCTACATGTACGTCACTGAATTTCAAAAACGAGGATTGCCACATGTGCATATGTTGTTGGTCTTAGAAAGTAACGAAAAATTGTGTGGCCCAGAAGAGTATGATAGTGTGGTAAGAGCAGAAATACCTAAGCTAGAATGTGAACCACAGTTGCATGAAGCGGTTCTAAAACATATGATCCATGGACCTTGTGGCGTTATAAATTGGAAGTCCCCATGTATGAAAGACGGACATTGTAAAAAAAGATATCCAAAACAATTCTTGGATGAAACACGTCAAGGCACTGACTCATATTCTGAGTACAGAAGACGATTTGATGAACCTATATCATTAGGTAGAGGCAGGTATGTCGACAATAGATGGGTGGTTCCTTATAACCCTTGGTTACTGTTAAAGTACGACTGCCACATCAATGTAGAGATTTGTAGTAGCATTAAAAGTATCAAGTATCTATACAAATATGTGTACAAAGGCCCTGATCGTGTGGATATGGAGGTTCACAAAGGACCATACATGGATGAAGTTCAACAATATGTTGATGCAAGATGGATTTGTGCTCCCGAGGCATTATGGAAAATATTTCGCTTCACTCTTTACCGATTATATCCTTCTGTTGAAAGATTACAGATCCACCTGCCCAACCGCCATCATTGTTTTCCTTTTTTTTTACCAGAAATCGGTAAAAAAAAGTCAGAGTTGTTGTTCTACCAAATCGGTAATATAAGTCAGTGTTGTTGTTCTACCAAATCTGAACTAAAACAAAATATTTCCATTCTTCAGGTATACATTTATTTATGGTTCAGTACACCAGATTATAATCAAATAAATCACATGTTTTGAATGTATTTCTTTGTTGATATGACATTTCACGATGTATTTGTAGTTTTTTAAAGCTCAAGAGCGCATCGATAAAGTGATGTATGAAGAATTGATTCGAATCTTTACAAGGTAGAAAAATAATATATTACACAAATTACTATTACTTTCACTATATTTTTCCTTAGAGCAATTCTAATGCGAGAGTCTTACATTTTTTCTTTACTACGGAAAACAATTGCAGGGAGAGAAAAAATTCTCAAAATAAAGATTTTATGTTTGGTCCTTCTACGTTATTGATTACACAATATAAATAATATTTTCTGTTCTTCAATTATTTAATATAATGTAGAATAACTTTGTTTGTTATTTATAAATATAATTAATATTAATGAATCAATCTAAACTATACATCATAAGAATCAGTCAAATTGGAGTGTTCGCCCTCAATATTAAAAGAAATAATTCGCCTATAAGAAACCTTCCACAAGGTTTATGTAAACTGCAAATTTAGGGTTTCGTGTTTATAACTGATCATAACTTTATTACACCAATGTCGAGTGGTTTTGGAGGAACAATGAGATCAGCGACTGCACCGAATTCATCATGTTCTTCGGGGAACCGTTTCAATAACGATGTCTGTAATTTTGAATGTAACATTTGTTTGGATTTGGCTCAGGAGCCAGTGATCACACTTTGTGGTCATTTATTCTGTTGGCCATGTCTTTACAGGTGGTTACAACATCGTTCTCATCCTCAAGGATGTCCCGTTTGCAAAGGCGTTGTTGATGAAGAGAAATTGGTTCCTCTTTATGGTAAAGGAAGATCGGCAACTGAACCAAGAATAGAGATTCCTCCTCGTCCTTCGGACATTCACACGTTGTTTGCGCGTTTAGAGCAAATGCGTTTGTCTTGTGAGGCTACAGAGCAGCGTTTCAAGGAGTATCGTGAGTCTACAGAGCAGCGTTTCAAGGAGTATCGTGAGTCTACGGAGCAGCGTTTCGAGGAGTATCGTGAGTCTACAGGAGAGCGTTTCAAGGCGTATGTTGATCAGCGTATTGAGGAGTTTTGTGTGGCTCAAGAGCGGCGTTTCGCGCTACTTCAGGAGCCTCAACAGCGGCGTTTCGACCGGCTTGAGTGTCGTATCAAAGAGTGTTGTATGGATGCAGAATATCATATCAAAAAGTGTCGCGCGGATGCGGAACTGCATGTCAATGAGTGTCGCGCAGAGGCAGAGCAGCGTATCAGGGAGTGTCGTGCGGATGAAAAACAGCGTATCAAGAAGCTCCGTGCGGATGCGGAGCAGCGAATCAAGAAGCTTCGTGCAGATGCAGAGCGGCGGATCAAGGAGTTACGCGCGGTGTGTCGTGCGGAGGCTGAACAGCGTATCAAGGAGTATCGTGCGGAGGCAGAGCAGCACGTCATGGAGCGTCGTGCGGAGACAGAGCAGCTATTCCAGATTATCAACAATTAGATCTATGTATTTAGATTTAAAATTTGGATTAGTGTTTTGAGTGATATCATTAGTGGTAAGTTTTTTTATTATGAATGTATTGCATAATTTTGGAAACATGCATGAATAAAACCTTGTTTTTCTTTTGTTATGAATCATTCATATGTACGTCTTGAATCGTGTTGTTTTTAGTCTTGAATCGTGTTGTTTTTAGGCTATTGTAAAAAGGTTTTGTTTGCGAGAATTGAAAGAATCGTATCACTTTGTTTCAAACAGAAAATCTTCTTCTTACATTTTCGATTTAAACAATTTTTTAATATTGAATTAAATCAGACAATTGAATTGATTCACATTATTCAGAATTGTGCAAACATTGTTATATATTGATCATAATTGATACAAAGAGTCTATCTCTTAGTAGAATCATGAATTCATATAACATCATAATTGATACAAAGAGTCTATCTCTTAGTAGAATCATGAATTCGGATAACGTCGATGGATTATGAAGGAGACATTTATATTGGGTCAAAAACAATCACATAAGTGTGAAGAAATCACATTTTTACCCAAAATCTTAAGCATTAGATATATAAATTCTCTCACTTATAGAATACACAACCTCCACTTTTTCAAGTAATATAAAATTTTTAATTTACATTGACATCATAAAAGTATGTAGTCAAAAATATTATCTAGATCCTTTAAGTTATTTTAAAATATCAAGTTAGTCTTTTAAGTTTTTTTGTAATTTTTTGATTCTTTATGTTAAGTAATGTTTGCGCCATTGGTCTTTTTAAAAATCCCGGTTCTAAAAAAGTCTACATGATATAAACGGAGCACATGTGTTATTTAATAACGATGATATGTCCTTTTATTTTTTATTTATTTTTTACTTTTATTTTTTATTTATTTTTTAATTCTACGTGAGTTTTAAATTATTATTTTTTTAAATTGGAAGGACCTGATTGCTACATTTTAAAAACATATGAGACGTGAGTGTTACAAATTAAAATATAACTAATATGTTGTTTTACACTATTTTGAATTTTAAACAATAACTAATATTTTGTTTTATACTATTTTGAACATTAAATAATTACAAGACAGCATGTCAAGCATTAAATAATCTAAATATTATAAAAAAAATATTGTTATAATGTTGTAAACTAATACATGCATAAACCAGGACATACATAAACTAATACATACAACAAAATAACTTCAAACAATATAACAACAAAAAATCTATTTAATGTAAACATCAAACAATTCTTTTATAATCAAGCATCAACGGAACAAAAATTAGAAACAAGAGAATTTACAATAACAAATATCATTAATTGAAATTTGTTGGAAATTCACCTCACACCCTATGAAGAATTTCCTTCAATCTTGATCTCAAAAGATTGATGAACAAACCCACTATATGATAATGATGGTAATAACAAGTAATTATTAAGAACAACAAAAGAGAAGAAGAATAACAAACAAGAAAGAGAAGAACAGTGGTATCATGAGCCTTTGGTTCGAATAAAGGGAACGACTTACTTGTATCGACTTATCATCTGATTCGACTTATCATCAAGCTTCCTTCTCAACTGATCTGACACATGTCTATGTGCTATAGATCCAAACACCTTTAAGTGACTGAGACACTAGTGGAAAAAAGGCTTTTTAAGTCGGTTAAAAATGACTTTTTAAGTCGGGTCCGAGCCCGACCTAAGAATTACCGTCATAAGAAGTTTTGACTTCTTAAGTCGGTTGTCAACCTGACTTAAGAAACAACTTCTTAGGTCGGTTAGGCAAAACCCGACTTAATAAGTCTAGCCTGCAGAAACCATTTATACCCGACCTAAGAACTTACTTCTTAAGTCGGGTATAATTAACCGACCTAAGAAGTTTTTTTTTTTTTGGATAATACTTTTTTTAATATATATATATATATATATATATATATATATATATATATATATATATATATATATATATATATATATATATATATATATATATATATATATATATATATATATATATATATATATATATATATATATTAAATAATCGATTAACAATCAAAATATTTTAAAGATTGGAAGGTTGGAAGTTCATAACAATGTAAAGCCAGTATTGCTAAATTTGGTTTATTAACCAAATTAGCAGTTTTTACAAATTAGCAAGTTGTATCTGAAATTTACAGCTTGGAAACACGACTCAATTATGAAAATTTCTAAAGCTAAGTTGTTACATGAGGAACAAGCCATTACGTAAATCCTACGAAATCCATAGAAACACAAGCGACCATTTATTTGAATAGACTTTTCGCATTGAAGCAGTCCCAAGGACTCCGCCAAGCGAAATACATGTTGCTATGGTGCTTAGTATATCTCGCAGTAATCACCTACATTTGAACAAACAATGAAGATTCAGTAACAGCTGACGGCAGACGATATCAGAATGCCAAACCAATTGCAAGAATAAAAATCAATGGCAATTGTTTTCTCACTTATTCATGACAATCATTTGCTTACCGCCAAATTTCAGAACATAACAATTGTTGGAGGCTTGAGAATTTAGGTTTGCATCCTGTTTCCAGAATAAACAATGTTTATAATCTGTGCCAAAATGTGATCTTAATGAATGTATAAAAGTAGCAATCTAATACTTACATCGTTATCAGTTTGGGCAGGTTGTGCCTTGATTGCTGCCATAGCTGCAGCTAATTCTTCAGCCTATTTAAATATTACAAGCAGCACTAACGTTACAAATTAATATAGAACAATTTTTTTTAAGGAAAATAATAGTATATCTATTAAAAAGAGAAATCAGGAAAATATCCAACAGAGTACAAGAAAAAACACAAAACTGACCCAACAATTTAAACTCCAGAGCAAACCAACTTCAAAACTGCACCGCAAAGAAGAACAAGCTAGATCTCAAGCCAGTGGACGTCCACCGGCAAATCAAATTCTACCAAACAATAAAGGAAACACCGACACTCATAACCTGGTCATAAATCTCAACTATGTCTGAGGATTTAGCAACAGCAATAACCTGAGAAAACATTCACAAAACAAAAATTCTTTCACTGTTATTATAACAAAGTGCTTATGATAACAAAGCTTCATGTATAAACCAAAACTTATTTAATAAGCTTTGGTTTATATTTATATTTTGTAATCACAGATAATGGCTGCGAAAATTTTCAAGATGCAGTTCATGTTTTTCCTTTGCTTTCTATTTCTCAACTCATTGTGCAGACTCCATAGATTCATAAAAGCTATTGTTGAAAGGATGAAAAAATTACAAAAATGGATGATGAAAACTTAGAGGAACATTCAATCCTATTTGGGAAGAGGAACCAAAAAAGTACTACTTTTGCTTCTGGATATATCACCAACATCCACTCTTTCTTTCCATCCACATACCAATTCACTGAAATCATAGACGACGTCATGCCTTTATTGTTTAAGTGGAGCCTTCTTTTGTCTGTCTGATAGGTGCGTCGGAATGCGACTTGAAACGACCCCTTCCTCCCTCATCTGTTTCCCGTATATCCATTCATATTCAATCTCTGATGTGTTCAACAAGTAACGAGTCAAGAACATAGAATTTGAAGAATGATGCACAACCAATGTTGCCAATAGTGTTATAGTGACACTATAACTACTATTTGACAATATTTATAATAAATGGCTTATAGTGGAACAATGGTAATTTGTTCAAACTACGCAATGTTGTAGCTGTTATTTAACAACACTGTGCACCAATAAGTTAGACAGCACAAGACAAGGTGAAGGGTAGATTTCTAACCTTTTTCTTAACAATCTGAACATCTTCATCACGGAGAACGTGACTAAGGCTGCAATGTTGTGGATAGTGCCTAGCACTTATACCCCACACCAGAACATACTTCACATCCTTCACCAAACTTCTATGTATGTGGTTGCAGAAATCCTCCACACTGCATCCACCTCTATCCTAAAACAATATGCAATAGATAGTGATGGATTGGAAGACTAAAGTTTAATTAAAGATGAAGAGATACACCAATTTCACACCAATTTACAATCATCATGGACCCCTGCATCTATAATATTATCACACCAATTTACTTAATCTTATTAGTCCTAATTTTTTACAACCCTGATAAAGATGAAGAGATACACCAATTTCACTATACTTCCCTCGATAACACCAAATGACCAAATATAAGTAAAATAAAATATATTTCAACTTCCAGAACCATTAATTATAAGCTAAATGAAAACTAGCAGTTGCTTTCTCCATCATCAACTGGTATCATGCTACAAACGTGATAGCTACCGAAGATGTGACCTTATGACAAAACTGACCAAAAGAACCACAAGCTGAACTCCATACTGCTAATAGAGAAGATAAAGAGCATCTGTGTGACAAATGATCAATAAGCATTAGCAAAACAAAAGTAACAGTTTTTTCTTAACCTTTTCTAAATGTGGAATAATAAGTTATTTTCACCTTTTCTTAACCTTCGAAAACAAATGATCTGCATGAAGGAGATCGTACAATCTGGGATAGGTGCTAAATGATTCGCACCAATCATGATATATACCAAAAAGCCCGCGTTCATAAATAATGGGAAGGGTATCTGCGGATTCTATTGACACTACATTCATGACCCAAATTTTCAAATCTTTCAAAGCTGCAGCAAATCTGGAAGAATTGGCAGAAGATGTCAAAACAGAGGACATATTAGCAAGCAAATATAATTCACAATAACATACGAAACAATGACTTTTGCTCACCCTCCATAGATAGAATTCATATCCATGACATTCCGCACATTTGACCACTGAATTCCTATCCCATTTAGATAAGACTTGGACACTACATTTTTCCAGTGTTTATCATCAGTAGCAAAATCTTCAGGGGCCGGCTTTCCATAAACTCCAACTTGGGAACTTGACAACCAATATGGTACTTTGGTCAGTCTAGCTGGCCACTTTTCTGGCCATTGTGACCCACGTTCACTTGAA